ACTGGTACCCATTTACTAAATTCAGTAGCAGATAAATTGTCTTAATTTTCGTTCATTCATTCATTCATTCATTCGTGTCTTGTATTGAACACGTCTTCCATACAATCCAAGAAGGTCCTGAACTGAATAGATGGCTTCAGAACACAGCACTGGGGGAGAGAAACAGGATCACATGGTCCTGTCTTGTCTTCCCTGCCTACCTGGAAGTCTTTTGAAGTCAAAGTGCCTCGCACTGCACCTTTTATGGTTATCATGGGCTCTATTAAAGCATTAGTCAAAGGACTGCTTTGTGTCTCTATATAAACAGTTATGGATGGAAGTCAAGCCCTCTTTAGCTTGTTAGAAAATCACGTGGCTGGAAGATTACAGCTCAACCCCTTTTAATCATTTCCCACCCATATCTCTGATTCCCAAACATCATTTCTTTGAAAATCCATATTTCTTTGCTTTTCCTGTTCTATTTGTAATGACTCTAGCCCCTTGCTTTCTAGTTTCATAAATGAGCTTCCAAAGGGAATCTCAAGTGTCACTAATGTATGCTTTGAAGTATTTTTAGTGGTCAAAGAGTAAACCCAGGTAACTGATAGTAAGATAAAAGTTCCACAGAAGGAGCTATTTAAAAGCCATAAAAATTTTAAATTATCCAGCAGGAGAGAGGAAATCCCTACTTGTTGCTTTCACATGCCTGGGTCACTTGGTTATTTAGTAACAGATGAAAATTTATTTATTTATTATTTGAAAGTCAGAGTTATACCCACACCCACATCCACAGAGCAGGGTGGTCTTCCATCCGATGCTTCATTCCCCAGTTGGCCTCAACAGGGGAGCTGTGCTGATCTGAAGCCACGAGCTTCATCTAGGTCTCCCACATGGGTGCAGGGGCCTGAGGATTTGGGCCATCTTCCACTGCTTCCTCAGGCCACAGCAGAGAGTGAGACTGGAAGTAGAGCAGCTGGGTCTCGAACCGGCGCACCTATGGGATGCCAGCATTTCAGGCCAGGGCGTTAATCTGCTGCGCCATAGCACTGGCCCCTTCTGTGAACTTTTTGAAGTACCATTTTATAGTCTACTAGTGCAAAGGGATTCAGAAAAAAAAAAACAGAAGGCGGCCAGCCAATAGTCAGAAACATTTTAAAGTGGGGCATCTTGATGGGTGCCGGAAGACGAGTGGGTGAAATTAGTGGGCTTGTTAAATTAGGCCTGGGTGGCAGCTGTAGCACAGCTGAAGGCCCATGGATAACCTCGGCGAGTCACTACCTGCTGCTACAGTGGGGCCTTTTACCTCCCCTGCAGCTTCCAAGGGGCGGGGAGCCTGCCTTCTGCCCCAGGCCATCTGGGTATGTATGACCTCACTTGCAGGCCGTACCAGATTATCCACTTCAAAATTAACCTGCTAGAGATTCATGAAATTTCGAGTCTCATCTGCAGTTGCCTAGGCAGGGCCAGACCACGTTTTCCCAGTCCTTAAGCAGTCTGCGTGCCAGGCGTTCCCAACCACTGTTCCGAGGGATCACACATGATATGGGAACAAGATGAAGCTGAGCAAAGTGAGGCTCCCTTCTAAGCCACTGAGATTACTCTGTTTAGATTTTTGTTAGCAGAGAGTGAAACTTTGGAAAACCAGTGCACTCAAATACACTCTTGTGCTGTATTGTAACAAAAGCTCCCCTGGCCAGGCTGCCTTTCGTGGATTCTTGCATCTGTGGCAATAGTGATGTGTGGACCGTCTCGATAATTTATTGCCCCCAGGATGAAACGGGTCCAGTATTCAGTACCTGTTAGGTCCTGTGGCACAGCTAATTCTCTGTGAGTACACACAGGCTCAGGATTTTTATATCTGCCTGATGTGGGCTCATCACTTACACTCTCTCAAACTTTTCTCATCTGTAAAGTGGGATGAATGAAATCCCACTTTTAATTGTGAGTCTGAAATCAGAGACTGGGCGGTGCTTGATGGCGCTAGAACACAGTAATGGGTGAATCACGTCTATGAGGTAGGTTTGCGTGGGGGGCGTGCTCTGATTGCGGGAACCTGGTGGAAGGGGTGAAGCTACTTTGAAGGATTTCTGTATTCAAATATGTCTCATCTGTAGTGCATCGTATCCATGTACCGGAAAGTGGTTTTCCTTTGATGAGGACTCAGATGTAAACTTTTAAGAGAAAAACAGTTTTTTTCTGATTTCCCAAACAGGAGTTCTTGGCTTTCCTCTAAACTCTTTCCCCACATAATCATGATATATGTCTTTTGGAAATCCTCACACCCACCCCTAGGTGTTGCCTATGGTGTTCCGAGCGCCCTGTAATTCCTACTTAGTTTTTCTTCATGAGTTGGATCATTTGCCCAGGTGTTTGTAGACAGTCTGTGAGCATTTGTCTGAATCCAGGTAAGTGCTCTTGTTGAGATCAAAGGAACAAGTGTTTGGGGCAGAACTGGCCGAACTGTGGTTTTCAGTAATTGGTGTGATGGTTTTTCCCTCCTCAGACAAGTGAGGAAAGGGGCTTCACCAACTACAACATCAGCCCCTGTACTGACAGCGGGGCTTCTCCAAGTACGGTGAAGAGCCCCTGACCTTCGAGGGGGTTCGCAAGTTTTGAGGTCCTCCATTTCCTCCTTGCAGAACTTCATGAGGCCAGATATTCTCCAAAGACTTCAACCAGAACTTGTCATGGGGGCCTGAGTGCAGAAGCAGATGTGAGAATCAACTGTCTTCTGCTTGGCCAGCCATTTAAAGGGATTTGCAAATATATAAAGCTACTATTCTTTTGAAAACATTTGCTTCAGAAAATACAGCTTTTAATAAAAATGAGTATGACACTTATGTTAACATGTGGTGGATTTAATATATTTAAATTTTCAGCTTTAATTTTTAATATTGTACCTACTCATATCATGTAAATAAAAGCTTTTGGGGCTCCTTGGTGATTTTTTTTTAAAGACTTTATTTGAAAGGCAGAGAGAGAGAGATCTTTCATGCACTCGTTCACTCCCCAAAAGGCCACAATAGCCAGGACTGGGCCAGGCTGATGCCAGGAGCCTGGAACCCCATCTTGGTCTCCCACGTGGGTGTCAGGGACCCAAGCACTCAGGCCATCCTCTGCTGCCTTCCCAGGCACATCAGCAGGAGTTGGATCGATAGTGGAGGGGCAGCTTAACTCACTGAGCCACAATGTGGTCCCCTGGGGTCCCTGGTAATTTTTAAAAGTCTAAGGAGTCCTGAGATCAAAAAGTTGAGAAATGCTGTTCTGGGGATTATGGCTTCCAGTTTGGAGTTTGGAATGTTTGCATTGGTTAGTATACTCAGACTTATTATTTTTTTTTTTTTGGTAAGTATGACTCTTACCATGTACTGGTGTGTATGAAACAAGGTGAAACTCCATTCTTTGTTACTTTCCAGGGAAGCAAAGGGTCCCTCAGGGTCTGAGTTACCCTCCCCACCTCGACCCCAAGCTCCTTGCTCGAGGGCTTGCCAGGCAGGTCGGCTGTCCTCGTCTCTCTGGTCCCTCTGAGATGCACCTAGGGGCCCCGGGGCTTTGGAGGAGGGGGTAACCCTTGCTCACTAACATGCTAACATAGACTTGTTTCACACCTGTGTTCCTTGTGCTACTAGGCCCCCACTGGGAAGCATCCAATCTCAGGGTTGTTCAAGCCAGATGAGTTTCCAGGGAACGGGGTGGGGATGAACTGCAAGGAGCCCTGAGGTGCACAGGCAGGCGCCTCAGAGCACAGGAGTGGGCGGTGAGGAATGCTGGACCACAGCCCACTTCTGTACCTTTACATCATCCATGACGTGGGAAGAGGAGTGATGGGAGTGTGAACAGCAGTCAAGAAGCAGAGGGCGTTGGGACAAAGGGAAAGGTGGAGGAAGTGCAGGGAAGGAGGTGTCACTAGCCCACCCTGCCGCGGCTCAGGCCTCGGTCGTGTAGCTGTGGTCTCTCCAGCACCTGGAGCTGGTGGTTCTAACAGCCCGGGAGACGCTCTGTGCTGTAATGTTGGCTCTTGGCCTTGGAAGGGTCAGCACGTGGTGACCATTGCTTGCCTTTAGACTTGTCTGTATGTGTTGACTTCAAGATGCTGTGTAGGAGGGCTGAAATTCAGGGGCATATTGGTTACGGTGTGACAAAGACGGTGGATATTTGGTGGATAAAGTGCGATGATGTGTGTGTGTGTGTGTGTGTGTGTTTTAAGATTTTATTTATTGATCTGAAAGTCAGAAAGAGAAGGAGAGAAGAAAAAGAGATCTTCCATCCACTGGTTCACTCCCCCAAATAGCTGCAATGGCCAGTGCAGGGCTAGGCTGAAGCCAGGAGCTTCTTTTGGGTCTCCCACATGGGTACAGGGACCCAAGCACTTGGGCTATCTTCTACTGCCTTCCCAGGCACATTAGCAGGGAGCTGGATCAGAAGTGGAACAGCTACCATATGGGATGCTGGCATTGCAGGCAGAGACTTAACCTTCTATGCCACAGTGTCAGCCCAGTGCTTTTGATTTTCAATGTGATAAACTTGAGAGCACCCAGGTAGAGATGTCTAGTCAACAGAAATAGGATATGGGGTAGATCTTTAGCCTAACATTGAAGATGCTGCTTAGGTTGCCTAAGTCCCTCATCAGAGTGCCTGGGTTTGAGTCTTGGCTCCATTGCTGATTCCGGGTTCCTGCTAATACAGACCCTGGGAGGCAGCATCATGATGGCTCAAGTACGGGGTGCTGGCCACCCACGTGGGAGACCCAGACTAAATTCCCAGCTCCAGGCATCAACCTGGCCCAACCCCAGCTGTTGTGGGCATTTGGGAAGTGAACCAGTGGATAAAAGAACTATCTCTGTCTCTCTGCCTTTCCAATAAATAAAATTAAATTAAAATAAATTTAAAAAAAGAAAAGCTATGGATCTCGGGAGAGGGGCTGGGGCTGGATGTGTTGCCTCGGGAATCGGCGTCATACCGAGATGGCGGAACCTGTCGCTGCTGTGACTTTACTAACGGTGTCTCTTTTGCTTCATCAGCTCTTCCAGGTGGCCTATGTTTTAATCAAATTTGCAAATTCTCCTCGCCCTGATCTCTGGGTCTTGGAAAGATCTGTAGACTTTGGAAGCACATACTCACCTTGGCAGTTTTTTGCTCGTAAGTAGTCTTGCCTACCACATCACTGAGGGGCTTTAGTTATTTGCAACAGATCAAGACCGTGGATTTAATTAGAAAATTAGATTCCGATTGTGGCTAGTTAGGGTCAATTCTAACCCCCGGATTACTCTCAGAACATGTCCATTGCTCAAGGATGTGCTCAGTCATCCCAAGGATACAGAACTACCAGGGGGAGAGCAGTGTGCCAGCACTGGCCCAAAACTCCAATGCTTTTCTTTTTTCTTTTTTTAAACCAGTTTTGTTTACTTATTTATTCAAAAGGCAGAGTGACAGGGAGAGACAGATTTTCAGTTCAGAGGTTTCCCCAAATGCCTTCAACAGCCAAGACTGGGCCAGGCTGAAACCAAGAGCCAGGAGCTCCATGTGACATTTCCACATAGGTGGCAAGGGCCCAGGTACTTGCAACATTACATGCTGCCTCCCGGGTACATTAGTAGAGAGCTGGATCGGAATCAGAGGTGGGACATGATCCCAGGCATGCCGATATAGGATGCAGGTGTACCAAGTGGCAGTTCAACCTGCTGCACCACAACACCTACCCCCAGCCCTTGTTTCATTATGTGGGATTAGGAGCTAAGTTCCATCTTCTGCATTTCCTACTGTGACTCTTGCTATCTTCACAAAAGAAGAATGTCAGGGTCTTGGAACTCTGACGAACCAAGGTGGACAGGAATTTTGCTTTGAATGGCATTGGCCTTGGGCTCTTCCACAAAGGCTCCTTAGAGGGTAAATTTGCTTAATGAGGGGGGTTAGCACCGCATCTCCAGACATTGCCGCTGGTGGTCGAGTGGCCTGGGATGACTTGGCATTTTCTTTTATGGGCTGGAAACTTCATTCTCAGCATCTGTCTAAAATTTTTCACATGCTTGTCTGTTCTTTTTCTTTTTGTGTATTTTCTTAAGGAAACATGGTCCTTTTAAGTGATTTCCAATAAAGTGATTATATTTAACTTTATAATATGAATCTATTTTCTTCCTAGATTCTAAAAGAGACTGTCTGGAACAATTTGGAAAGGAGGCCAATACAGCTGTCACGCGGGATGACGATGTACTCTGTACTACTGAATATTCCCGGATCGTGCCTCTGGAAAACGGTGAGGTGAGTAGGCTTGGGGGGGCCCGCGAGAGAAAAGACTCAGACATGAACATGAAGACACCCAACTATTCCTGATGTGAAACTTGCAGATTCCGAGAGCTCTCACACAGAGCAAGACGGAAAGCAGCACTTGAGGCTAGAGCAAAAAGCAGTCACACCGAGGGCTCCCAGGTTGAGTTGGGTTGGGAATTCTGCGTGGGGTCTTGAATTCTCCCTGGGATGCCAGGATTCAGGAGGCCAGGCCCAGGTTTTAACTTCTCCGTTCTGGTGGGATATTTAGAACATGGTCCCTGGTACCTGAAGAGATGATGGCGCTCACCTCTCCACACATGACCCCCCAGAAAGGGTGAGGGGTGAGAAGCAGATGGCAGCACTAATCACCAGTCCCCGTCAGCCTTGGGGGCGGGCGGCATTGGTCTCTTTCCGATTGCACTGGGGCTGAGCAAAGGCAGCCTGGTTATTGGTGGAGGAGGTGGACAAGCAGAGAGGGGGGAAGGTCAGAGAATTGCACGGAACTTGTGTGGCCGTAATGAATACGAATGAATCTCAGATAGACTTCCATCAAGGTGTCCGCCTCTGTCTCCATCAGTAGTGAGGTCCCGCCTGAGCAGCCACGGCAGACGCGTGGACTTCACGTCGCTCTGCTTCTGTGTAGATTCTTTTCCCACTGCCCCTTCATGTCTGTCAACTCCATATCCAGAGAGCTCCTTCTCGCCAGCATTGCTACATCTGGACGATTCTAGCGCTGTTTCTTTGATGCAGCTTGACAAAGCAGGCCCCTTAGGCCTTTGTATGTGGGCTGTTTGATGGCCCCACAGTGACACCAGCACAACACGGGCTTGACAAGGAAGGGATACCCTCTGGGAGCCCGTGCTCCAGAGCTGAGCTGCCAGAACTCAGAGCCAGGATGTGGGAGGGAAGATGGAGCAGGCAGGGGTGGCTGTGGACACAGACAAGGTCTGAGACCACCTGCAAACACCCCAGGTCTGCAGTACCCCACGCTTGGAGGCACCGGAGTGATCTTTGGAGACTTGCTGCTGCATTTTGATAAAAGATCTTTTCCCCTCCCCTTTCCTCTGTGTGTGTGTGTGTGTGTGTGTGTATGCCTTATTTTAGGTCGTGGTCTCCCTGATAAACGGTCGTCCAGGTGCCAAAAATTTTACTTTCTCTCCCACGCTGCGGGAGTTTACCCAGGCCACAAACATCCGCCTGCGTTTCCTCCGCACCAACACCCTCCTGGGTCACCTCATCTCCAAAGCCCAGCGGGATCCGACCGTCACGCGGCGGGTGAGTGGCGGCCCCTCCGGCCCAGCGCGCCACCTACGATATTTTGTTACTTTCTGTGCTCACCAGACAAATTGCCTTGAACTCTTTCAAGTAACCTTTATAGCCAGCAAGAGTGTAGGCACGGGACTTGTTCTATCTAAAATGCTAGACATAATTAATTAGGAGGTTGGCTGCTTGAAGCAAAAGCCTTCTATTCCCAGAAGATGAAAGGCAAAGGATTATCGCCAGCCTCGTCTTTGTCTAGATGGGCTACCTACGGCTGTAGCTAACCATCCTCAGATCTCAGAGGCTTAACACAGTAAACACAAGACTGGCTCCATGTAGTCATTCAGGGAACCAGGTTTTTTTCTGTGTAGTGGTTCAGCCACCCCAAGGTTCTGGGAGTCCTCCTCTGGATACCTCCCCAACCCCGACCCTCCCTCCCATCCCCTCACTCCACACCGGGTCAGCAGACAGGGAGGGCCGGGCATAGAGAAACTCTATGAAAGTCATCTCCATCGGCAAGATCTGGCCACCTTGCTGCCCTACCTAGCCGTGAGGAGGCTGAGCAAGGTTTTGCAGCTAAAGTAGGGGAGGAACAGCGCCCCCTGCTGAGGGGGACGCCCTCCCTGCACACCTCTCACTCTCAGGTGTCAGGACAGGGCCCTCTATGTCCCAGGCGTAGAAGGATGCCTCAGATAATGTCACTGAACTCACTCTTCTCCTGCCCTCTGAGCCCCTGCCAGGGGCTTCTTGAGGCCAAATCCAGCAGAAGTCCAAGAGCCATAGGGTCTATGGGAACAGCCTTCACAGTTCAGCCCCAGGGCCAAGGGCAGGGCCAGCCTACAGAGTGTGGCTTTTTCTTTAGGTGATGTCAGCGAGCTGGGAAATGGAGGGAGGGAGGAAGTTCAAGTGCTGCTATGATTCTGAGCAGTCTCCAGGAAGGCCAAGCTTTGCCCTGGGGGAGGGGGCCCATCTTCTGCATTATCCGCTCCCTTTGCTCCCTGTGAGCCCCTGTGTCGGGGGGGAGGGGGACCATGTTGGATCCGAGGACAGAGATTCACAAGGGAGAACTGGGCTTTCTGCTGATCTGCAGCCAGGCTGCAGGTGTTTACAAAAGCCATCTTTTTGAGAGTTGCAACATTTGCGCTCGTGTCTGTAAATTGCCTTTCACTTAGGTGAATGAAGGCTTTTCCATTGTCATTGTTTATGAGGCATGAAACATACGTTCTTTTGATCCCCCAAATCCAAGTTGCTTTTTAGTGGAGAAATAGGATGTCAGGAGAAATTAAGATGCCAGGTATCCTGCCTCATGGGTCCTATGAGCTGCTGGCTGAAAGCTTCTCTCTCTCTCTCTCTCTCTCTCTCTCTCCCTCCTGTTGCCACTACCCTGATCAGCAGCAAAGCCTCTGGGCATTCACTTGTCAGGTGCTGCTCATGCTATCTTCATGCAGTTAGATTAGCCAGGGACTTTGTTAGTGGCCCCAGATTTAAGTAAGGTGTGGCTAGGAAGCTTTGACACCTGAGTAGTTTTTAATGAGCAAACCCCGAATGAGTAGAGCTCTTTAAGACTACTGCACTCAACAACAGCAACGACAGACACAAAGACCTCTTGTCCTGTAAGCTCCAGGTCTCCCTGGCAGACAGGTGTTCTTCTCGATGCCAGCGCGGCCTCAGTGAGCCGGCAGCCCCCGCACTCCTCGCCCAGTCTTAGGCAGTCTCCTGCCAGGTGTGAGAAGGAAGGCAGCTGGCAGGAGGGGGCGTCTGTTGGAACGCGCTGGAGAGGGGGACTCCTCGGTGAGGGCGCCTATGCGTGTTCATAGCTCAGGGGCCGGGACTCACTTGGCTGGATCTGAAGCTGACTCTGTCCTTTATGGAGCTTGAACCTTTGACTTTGACTGTGGCCCTTTGGAACCTGAGCTGCTGCTGTCGTGTGGCTGTCTCAGAGCCATCACTGTCAATATCTGTCCCTTCTTGCAGCCTGGGGCAGTATTTTGCACATAGTAGGTGGAAAATGTCTGACATAAAATCTAGTTTTGATAAATAAAATGTTTGGTGTCTAACATCTGGATTTATATTTTAAAAAACTTGGAAGTCCTTAATCTCTTTCTAATAGACCACAAGACATGATTCTTTTCATTAGAATTGTTTCTTTGAGTGGCAGAGAGATAAAGATCTCCCTCCCACTGTTTGGCACCCCAGATGTCCACATGGCTGAAGCAGGGATCCCAGAATTCCATCTAGGTCTCCCATGTGGGTAGTAGGAACCCAATTTGAGCCACCACCTGCTGCCAAGGTGCTCCTTAGCATGAAGCTGGAATCAGGAGCAGAGCAGCCAGGCACGCTGATGTGGGACACAGGTGTGCCCACCTGGCCTCTTAACCACTGGGACAAATGCCTGCCCACTAGGTTATGACTCTTCAAAGACAATGTCCTTCTATGCACTCAAAGCATTTGTTTTTTTTTTTTTTAATGGAAAACCTTGGCAGCATGTTATTAAATTTGATTGAGGAATGCATTTATTTCAGAAAACAAGTTCAGTCCAAATGTGGTTCCCTTATGTTTGGATGTAGGCAAGGAGAAGGGACTTAAGAGGATGGAACAAAAGGGAAGCTGGGTCAACACAGATGTGGATTTAAGATTAGGAAGAGAAAGATTTTTTTTGGTAAAACTGATACATTCTGCTTTCTGTTGTACTATAGTATTACTACAGCATAAAGGATATCAGCATTGGTGGACGGTGTGTTTGCAATGGCCATGCTGAAGTATGCCGTGTAAATAATCCTGAACAACTGTAAGTACATTGTGCAATTTTTAAAGCTTTGCTATGCAGAAGTCTAAGTATCTCAGTGGATGTTTGCATTAAATGTTTCAGGGTTCCTGCCCTCCACAGGAATGTTTCAGGATCAGCAAAGAAGTGATGTGTGCGCCTCCCCTCCTTTTAGATATCCCCTGTGAGTCCACAGTAGACATGACTAATCAATTATAGCACCCTCACAAGATGATACGTCAGGCAGCCACTAACAATTGATTTCAGTTGGCAAGAGAACTATAGTTTGTTTAATAGGATCGGGGTATACATTTTTAAATCTTTGTAAGTTTAAGTTGTGGGAAAATACATACAACAAAATGTGTCACATGAACCATTTTATGTGTACACTTCAGTCCTGTTAAGTAAATGCACATTGTGTGCAACCAATCTCCAAAACTCTTTTCATCTTGCAAAAATCAAACTCTGTACCCACTATACCACAACCTCCCATTCACCCCACCAGGCTCTGGAAACCACTGTCTACTTTCCTTCTCTATGAATTCAACTACCCTAGGGCCCTCAGAGAAGTGGAGCTTTATCATATGTGTCTGTTTGTGATTGGCTTGTTTCACTTTGCATGATGCCCTCAAAGTTCATCCATGTTCAGCTTGTGTCAAAATTCCTTTGGCTTGGAAGGCTGAAATGCTATGTGTCCTTTGCTTATCCATTCTTCTGTAAATGGACACTTGACTTGCTTCCATGAGTTGGCTATCGTGAATAATGCTGCTATGAACATGAATGTACCTTTTCTTGATTTTAATTGAGGTATATTTTACATGCAACAAAATGCATGAGTCTCACATATTTGGTAGTCACCAATTGGCTATATGGATGTCGTCACAAGAGGGATACTTTTCTCCCCAGGTTTCAGTTAATCTACAAATCTCCAAGAGCAGCATTTATGAGAGATGTTTCCCCTTTAGTCACATTGAGGTTTAGATCTTTGTTTTTTTTTAAGATTGATTTTATTTATTTGAAAGGCAGAATAACAGAGAAAGGTAGAGACAGAGAGAGAGGTCTTCCATCCACTGGTTTACTCCCCAAACAGTTGCAATGGCCGGAGCTGTGCTGATCCGAAGCCAGGAGCCAGGAGCTTCTTCCAGGTCTCCCACGTGCGTGCAGGAGCCCCAGGACTTGCGCCATCTTCTACTGCTTTCCCAGGCCATAGCAGAGAGCCGGATTGGAAGAGGAGCAGCCGGGACTAGAACCGGCTCCCATATGGGATTCCGGCGCTTCAGGCCAGGGCTTTAACCCTCTGTGCCACAGCACCAGCCCCAGGTTTACATCTTTAGGTCTGACTTATGTGGTGTGCTTCTCCCTGGCCAGTGATGAGCCCTGATGCTGCTGTCCTTGCTCAGGGATCAGGTGGGGCTGAGAGGGCTCATGCACCTGCTAACCACCATTTAATGAGCAAGCGCTTATTTATTGATGATTCTTCTACCTCCACCACGTAGCTGGGAGGGTGGAGCCCTCAGGCACTGGAAGTTGGGTCAGATGAGTGCCGAGTTGGAGAAAAGGGGAAGAAGAGGTCCGTGCAATGTTCCGAGTCCAGGATAAAATGATGCCACCTGAGAGAGGAGAAGCCGAGGGAGAGGCGCTGAGCTTCCTGCTTGGAAGGACGGCCGAGCCCTGGATGACCTGGCAGCCTTTGGTACCGGGTGGTTCATCACTCCCAGCACATGAGTGGAGAGGCCATCCCTCCATGCTTGAGTGAAATGCCTAGCTTGCAATGTTCACTCTGGCAGCATTGCCTTGCCTCCCCCACCTACTGGTTCACTTCTGCTCAACAGACTGACTTTGTACAAGTGCCAATGAAATCCACATCTCATAGTATATTTAAGGGGATTCTGTGACTTAATGGGAGGAGCTAAGGCTAAGCAATCAAAAAAGCTATTGGCTACTCAGGAGGAAGAAAGCTTTAACCAGGCATGCAAACCCCAGTGATGCATGGAGAGATGGAAGGATCACATATTTTATTCTGAGATTCCTAGTAGCCATGTAAAAAAGGGAAATATGCTTGGTTTCATATTTCACTAGGATCATAAGCTAAAAAGCATTCAGTTGCTTAGGAGACATGTGACTGTGGACACTAGAAACAGATAAGAATTTTTCCCTGGGAATGGGTGGAGTGGTCATCCTGAAGAGATTTTCTAATCAACAACATCTTCGGAGCAGATGTAATATCAGCCATGAGCCTGGGTTGAGAGAAGCAATGACTTGGGGCTAACAATATGACTCAGACAGGTCTCCAGCTACTTCTTCTGCTGAGTGCAGTTTTAAGCTCCCTGTGAGTGTGGCTGGACCATATGTTCTTCATGCAGTTTTCCCTGAATACCCTTTCAGCCCAGCTGACACCAAGGATCTCAATGGCAATGAGCTGAAACCGCCTCTCTGATAAGAGCCCATTTGTACTCCAGCTGTTCTGTGCTGCCAGGCAAATCTGCTTTCATGTGTTTTAACGGGCACTTGAGTGGGGAAGGGAGTGCCGCCTTCTCCTAGGAGTGTACCAAGTATGTGCCACCCCACCTCTCCTAGGGGAGGAGTGAGGAGATTCCCACAAGCACAGCCAAAAGCCTTCTTAGACAACTTTCAAGCACAGATGAATGTAAACTCAACACTTAGAGTTCTTTTTTTTTTTTTTTTTAAGATTTATTTATTTATTTGAAAGAGTTACAAAGAGAGAGCAGGAGAGGGAGAGAGAGAGAGTGAGGTCTTCCATCCACTGGTTCACTCCCCAATTGGCTGCAACAGCTGGAGTTGCACTGATCTGAAGCCAGGAACCCAGAGCTTCTTCCGGGTCTCTCACGTGGGTACAGGAGCCCAAGGACTTGAGCCATCTTCTGCTGCTTTCCCAGGCCATAGCAGAGAGCTGGATTGGAAGTGGAGCAGCCGGAACTCGAGCCAGAGCCCATATGGGATGCCAGCACCACAGGAGGCGGCTTTACTCACTATGCCACAGCACAAGCCCAACACTTGGAGTTCTAATTCAATGCCAGGGCCACAACAATTTCATTTTAAGTTGGGAACATTTTAAGACAGATATTAGATTTTTAGAATTTTAAAAACTATTTCTTAGGAAAGGTGGAGAGAGAGACAGAGATCCCATCTGTTGGTTTAATCCCAAAAGCCTGTAATGGCCAAAGCCAGGAGCCAGGAACTCAGTGTCTCCCCTGTGGGTGGCAGGGTCTCACTACTTGAGCCATTACCTGCTGTCTCCGGCATGCACATTAGCAGAAATTTGGAATTGGGAGTGGAGCTGGAACTTGAACCCAGGCATCCGATGTAGGATGCAGGTGTCCTGAAGGGTATCTTAACCACTAGGCCAAATGCCCACCCTGATGCGTAGATTTTTTGTTCTTTGTCTTGCTGAGTTATCTCAGCCTTTGGCCCTGCGATGGTATTGGAACAGCCTCTGGCAGCAGAGTCCTCTGTAACCTATGAATAGCGGTCCCCTAATTTGGTAAATCTGTGTATGTGACTGCCAGTAAAAAAACTTGAGCAGATGTGTCTCTCAGACCCCCCAGATATTAGTGACAATGTGATATTTAGCACATCGCAGGAGACATAGCATTGGTTTGTTCATTTGTTCAAAGTCAAGTTAATCTTTATCACCTCGACCTTGGGGGGCAAGTGTCTTAATACCTCGGAATCTTAGTTTCACCACTATAAAATGGAGATAAAACACGGATAAGGGGACTTGAGATAGCATCTGCAAAGTGCTCTCTTCCCATAATTACTCAATGAGCAGTCCAGGGATGAACCTGGCAACTGTGTTCACGTGTTAGTTTTTCACACTGCATCAACTGATCTTAATCAAAGTTTCCAGTTATTGAGATGTGCTTTGCTCCCATGCCCAGGTTCCGGTGCGAATGCCAGCACCACACCTGTGGAGAGACGTGTGACCGCTGCTGCGTGGGGTACAATCAGAGAAGCTGGCGGCCGGCTGCCTGGGGCCAGAGCAATGAGTGTGAAGGTGAGTGCCCAGCTGGGGCTGTAAGGACCCCTGCGTGATCTCCCCTCTCTCTACCTGGGGACTGATGCCATGTTTCCCTGAGCTCATGAAGAGGCTGGGATCATGTCAGTCGTAGGGACTCAGTTCTGTCTTTTATATTCTTTATTGGTGGGGAAACATTCCAAGACTTCCAGTGAATGCCTGGAGCCCACAGGTAGTACTGAACACTAAATACACTATATTTTTTCCTGTATATACATACCCATGATAAAGTTGAGAACTGTCATCTTTTCACTTAGAGGAAGTGATTTACAGCTTCTCTTTGATGTATCCAAATTGTTCTCATCACTTCTGCTTTGGGGCCATTATTGAGTAAAATCAGACTTGCACACAAGTACTGTGACAGCGCACAGTTGGCTTGACAACTAAGCTCCTAAATGACTAACAGACAGGCAGTGCATACAGCCTGGGGACAATGGGGAAAGAGATGATTCCTGTCCCCAGGCAGGACACGGTGGGACAGTATGTTTCCTCGTGGTATTCAAGTGGCATGTAATTTAAACCTTATGAAATTATTATTTCTGGAATTTTCCATTTACTATTTTTGGTCTGAAGTTGACCATGGGTAACTGAAACCACAGAAGGCAAAACCAAAATCAAGGGGGAGCCATTGTAATGAAGAACTCCCAGGCTAGAGATAAAAGCACCTCACTCTAAATTAAGATATAAATATGAGGGGAAAATGAGCAATAGTACAAATTACTAATATGCAGTGAGCATTCAGATATGCAAGGAAAGGCAGAGTGATATGTGTAGAGGGAAATCATCCATCTACTGGTTCACTCCACATTGGCTGGGGCTGGTCCAGCCCGAAGCCAGAAGCTTGGAACTCCATCTGTGTCTCCCCATGTGGGTGCAGGGGTCCAAGCACTTGGGCCATCTTCTGCTGCTTTCCCAGGCCATCAGCAGAGAGCTGGATCAGAAGAGGAGCCACTGGGGTGTGAACTAGTGCTCCAATATGGGCTGCTGGCATCACACACAGCAGCTTAGCTCATGGCGCCACAGTGCTGGCCCCACTGGACTCCTCTTTTAGCAATCTTAAGTGGGAAACATCCATCATAACATTTTAATCCTTCACCACTTCCTAAGGAATCTTAACTGTTTTGTGGACTGAGATATGACCAGGAGGCGAGGTTGCTATCTGAACAGCAAGTTGGGAGCGTAGAGGGCAGAGTGAGAGAGGTGTGAAAAGTAACTCAGCAGGATCAAGGAGGTGGAGGAAAGAGGACCAGAGAAAGGTGGAGAAAAGACAGGGGTTGCTTTGACTTATGGGTGTGATGCAAAGTATGGAAACTGCTGTTTTAAACAAAGAAGCCCTGAGACATCCAACTGTAGATTTTATTTTAAGCCCATCTTCTTGGGAAGCCACTTATTTATGGCAAGTGCTGAAAACATTCTTGTGACATTGGATTATTATGGTTAGAAGCCGTGGCCCATTTTTCTGAATACTTTGAGCAGTTAAAGATGGATATATATTTTTTAATGACAAAAGGCATTTGGACCCATGTGTATTGAATTAGGTGAGTAATGACTTTACACTTGTTGGTCAAGTATTTTCTGTAACTGTTAAGTGATAAGAGTGATGCTCTTATGACCAGTGAACTTATATAAAAGGGATTTCTGGAGGGGACTTCTGGGGAGTTTTGAGATAGGCTAACACTGTGGGAAGGTGTGGATGCTGCCTGGTCATAAGCATTCAGATCACTGCAGAGAGCCGCTATTAAATATTTCATCAGATAATTTTAGCGTTTTGTAGATACATCAAATACTCAAGATTAATTAACTATATTATTTTATATCCTGCACTTTTTCACTTGATATTTTTAGATCCAAAATCATTAAGATACTCTTAGACATCAATTTTGATGGCACAGGGTGTTGTCTTCCTATGGATTCAAGTCAGTCTGATGAGTGTGTGTAAGCACCCACTGTGTCCTGAGGGTGACACGCTCCTGCAGGTCAAGTGCATCCGGTCTCTGTCACATGGAACTTACACTCGGCAGATAAACCAACTTGCTTAGCCACTCCCCCTGGAGTAAGACATGAGTATTACTCCCAGTTGGTCACCATTGTAGTGTTGAGATGAAAGTTTAGAATATTGGCTCGAAGTGCAGGTTTTGGCATCAAACAAAGGTCAGAACCGTGCCTTTCTCCCTCGTGAGCTGTGTCATTGTGGTCCCATCCTCCATTTCTCTCATCCCCAGGGGACCCACCTTGGAGAGTTATTGTGCAGAATATGTGAGATAATTTCCATGCAACACTTTTCACAGTGCACCGAGAGCTCCCTTATCACGATTCATAGTAGCTCTAGCAACAATCACAGTCTCTTTCTGTATGAAGTTTAGTTGGCATTTTGGTATATCTTAATTTACTACAATTACAGATCTTATTTTTTTTAAAGGAGAAAAACCACTCTCATTTAGCATCAAATGAAAGGAGCTACATAGGACATTTTATCACAGGCTGGTCTTTGTGTAAATATCTGTACAATTTTCTATTAAGAGTGGCCTGGTGTTCCAGGACCAACACTGTGGCAGCCCAGCGAGCACCAGGGCCATGTGGGGGAACTGCAAAATGTCTGCTGGTCGTGATGAAATGTTGACTTTGCACACTTTTTTCAGCCTGCAACTGCCACGGCCACGCCATCGACTGCTACTATGACCCTGGTGTGGAGCAGCGCCAGGAGAGCTTGAACACTCAAGGCGTCTATGCCGGCGGGGGCGTCTGCATTAGCTGTCAGGTGAGGCCCTGTTGACACCAAAGCGCAGGCATCCCTGGGCAGAATGAGCACTCGGTACGCCTGGCTTCTGAGACGACATCGAGGAAGTGCCGTCCGACTGGGCTGTCTTCCGAGGCCGTTTCTTCACTTCTGATCATCGAAGGTCTTGTCGGCTGCATGTGATTTCGGGGTTGTAGGGGAGATGCACTGAGGGATGTTTACCCCAACGCCTTTCATTGGGTCCCTCACATAGGTCTGCAACCACGTGGAGAGAACTCCTGGCTGTCACTCTGGCTGCTCCCCATCTTGTGGTAGAAAATCTAAGATAGGAGAACAAATAGAAACGGACTTCAGAGCTAGAGCTGACTTTACTTTTTTTTTTTTCTTTTTTTTATTATTTACTTGAAAGTCAGAGTTACCACAGAGAGAAGGAGGGGAAGACAGAGAGGTCTTCCATCTGCTGGTTCACTCCCCAGATGGCCGCAATGGCTGGAGCCGCGCCGATCTGAAGCCAGGAGCCCAAGGACTTGAGCCATCTTCTATTGCTTTCCCAGGCCACAGCAGAGAGCTGGATCGGAAGAGGAGCAGCTGGGACTAGAACCAGCACCCACATAGGATGCTGTCGCTTCGGGCCAGGGCATTAACCTGCTGCACCACAGCGCTGCCCCCCAGAGCTGACTTTACATCCTGTCTTCAGCTAGATTCTAAATCTAGACTCCGTGAGGAAGTGCACTATGATGAATTACTGATGTCTGACACAAGCACCAAATATTAGGTGTTGATTTTTCATCCCTTCTGTAGGACAATTAGGTTCACTAAAGTTTAGCCAAGAGAGATGCATTGCAGATGAGGGTAATGAGTGTATCTGCACTGAGGCGTTCATTACAGATCTTATCTAATATGTTACAGATTTGATCTACATTGCCTCCACTTTCCTGTGTTTTGTTAAAACATCTGTCTTTTTTTTTTTTTTTTTTGACAGGCAGAGTGGACAGTGAGAGAGAGAGACAGAGAGAAAGGTCTTCCTTTTTGCCGTTGGTTGACCCTCCAATGGCCGCCACGGCTGGTACACTTTGGCTGGCGCACCGCACTGATCTGATGGCAGGAGCCAGGTGCTCCTCCTGGTCTCCCATGGGGTGCAGGGCCCAAGCACTTGGGCCATTCTCCACTGCCTTCCTGGGCCACAGCAGAGAGCTGGCCTGGAAGAGGGGCAACCGGGACAGAATCCGGCGCCCTGACCGGGACTAGAACCCGGTTTGCGGAGCCCCAGGCGGGAGACTAGCCTACTGAACCGCAGTGTCCTGCCGTGTTAATTTAAAGGTTTATTTATGTATTTTGAAAGGCAGAGTTATCGAGAGGCAGAGGCAGAGAAAGAGAGACAGACAGACAGACATAGAGAGAGGTCTTCCATCCAGTGGTTCACTCTCCAGTTGGCCACAACGGCCAGAGCTGCTGTGTTCTGAAGCCAGGAGCCAGGAGCTTCTTCCAGGTCTCCCATGCAGGTGCAGGGGCCCCCAGACTTGGGCCATACTGCACTGCCTTCCCAGGCCATAACAGAGAGCTGGATTGGAAGTGGAGCAGTCAGGACTTGAGCAGGCACCCATATGGGATGCCGGTGCTGCAGGAGGGGTCTTTACTCGCCATGCCACAGCACAGGCCTGTCTTCTATTTTTTTATAGCAGCTCTGCAAAAGCATTTTTCTTTTGCAGGTGAAATTATTGA